TTGTCACAGGGTGTCTACTGGGTTGCTGTAAATTTTCCGAGCTTTATGGTCATGTTTCAGAAGCATTCTCTCCTGACGTTTCGCCCACATCTATGGTAGGCATCCCCAGAGGTTGAGGGGTCTGTGGGAAACTAGACAACTAAGGTTTATATATCTCTAGAATATCCAGGGTGGGAGAAAGAACGCTTGTCTGCCTGAGGCAAGTGTGAATGTTGTAATTGGCCACCTTGATTAGCATTAAATAGCCTTGCAGTTTCAAAGACTGGATGCTTCCTGTCTGAGGGAATCCTTTGTTGGGAGGCGTTAACTGGCCCCGATTGCGCAGGCGCAGGAATTACCACATATGCAATTCACAGGGACTACGACAGGAAAGTTGTAATTGGCCACCTTGATTAGCATTAAATAGCCTTGCAGTTTCAAAGGCTGGCTGCTTCCTGCCAGGGTAATCCTTTGTTAGGAGGCGTTAACTGGCCCCGATTGCACAGGCGCAGGAATTACCACATGTGCAATTCACAGGGACTACGACAGGAAAGTTGTAATTGGCCACCTTGATTAGCATTAAATAGCCTTGCAGTTTCAAAGGCTGGCTGCTTCCTGCCTGGGGGAATCCTTTGTTGGGAGGCGTTAACTGGCCCTGATTGTTTCTTGTCAGCCAGAAAATTAAAAATCCTAGTGATTAGATCATTCTTGCATGCAAGTTTTGGGTGCTGTGTGATTATTCTTCCGATGTTATTTATTATATTTATATTTATATCCCGCTTTATATCCCCCAAAGGGGACTCCAAATGGCCTTGTTGGACAGCAAGGCCTGTCATTCCCTTCCACCATCACTTACGCTGACTGTGAATGATGGGATCTGCACTCTTAGCACTCTGGATTTATAGGAAATTGTCTTTTCATGTACAGTCAAGGGAAACCAGGGCACTTTATGGCAGTGTTTCTCAACCTGGAGGTCGGGACCCCTGGGGGGGGGGGGGTTGCAAGGGGATGTCAGAGGGGTCACCAAAGACCACCAGAAAACACAGTATTTTCTGTTGGTCATGGGTGTTCTGTGTGGGGGTTTGGCCCAATTCTATCATTAGTGGGGTTCAGAATGCTCTTTGATTTGATATAAATCCCAGCAACTACAACTCCCAAATATCAAGCTCTAATTTCCCCAAACTCCACCAGTGTTCATATTTGGGCATATTGAGTATTCATGCCAAGTTCGGTCCAGATCCATCACTGTTTGAGTCCACAATGCTCTCTGGATGTAGGTGAACTACAACTCCAAAACTCAAGGTCAACGCCCAACAAACCCTTCCAGTATTTCTGTTGGTCATGGGAGTTCTGTGTGCCAAGTGTGGTTCAATTCCATCGTTGGTGGAGTTCAGAATGCTCTTTGATTGTAGGTGAACTACGAATCCCAGCAACTACAAATCCCAAATGACAAAATCAATCTTAACCTAACTTCACCAGTATTTAAATTTGGGCGTATCGGGTATTTGTGCCAAATTTGGTCCAGTGAATGGAAACATATCCTGCATTATCAGATATTTACATTACAATTCATAACACAGCAAAATTAGTTATGAAGTAGCAACGAAAATAATTTTATAGTTGGGGAACTGTAAAAACGTTACGCGGCATAAGGAAGGTTGAGAACCACTGCTTTATGGTTAACAACATCCTTATGTGACCAAGATAAAGTTGTTCTTGAGGAAGAACAAACTGGCGGAGGCTGCAGAAGTTGCTTTGACATAATGTTTTTGAACTGAACTCTCTATAGCCCCAGAGACCATGGTGAAAAATTAAAGATTCTGTAACCTGAAGAGGGGCCGACCAAGTGCAAGATGGATGGATGGGATCCTTGAAGTGACTGGATTGACCTTGAAGGAGCTGGGGGTGTTGACGGCTGACAGGGAGCTCTGGCGTGGACTGGTCCATGAGGCCATGAAGAGTCGGAAACGACTGAACGAATGAACAACAACAACCTGGTCTCTTCCCAAAACCTAAGAGTTCTCATACATGGACTTCCACCAGATGGTCAACACCAAAATCAGATTGACTATATCCTTTGCAGTTGAATGTTTTGGCCTTCAACTCCCAGAAATCCTAACAGCTGGTAAACTGGCTAAGATTTCTGGGAGTTGTAGGCCAAAACACCTGGGGGACCCACAGGTTGAGAACCACTAAGCCAACTGGGAAGGGAAAGACTCTTGATATTGAGTCATTTACCCTTCTCTCCTGTTGTTGTTTATTCATTCAATTGCTTCCGACTCTTCGTGACCTCATGGACCATCCCACGCCAGAGCTCCCTGTCGGCCGTCACCATCCCCAGCTCCTTCAAGGTCAAGCCAGTCACTTCAAGGATGCCATCCATCCATCTTGCCCTTGGTCGGCCCCTCTTCCTTTTTCCCCAGCATCATTGTCTTCTCTAGGCTTTGCTGTCTCCTCATGGTGTGGCCAAAGTACTTCATCTGGGCCTCTACTATTCTTCCCTCCAATGAGCAGTCGGGCTTAATAATAATAATAATAATAATAATAATAATAATAATAATTTTATTTCATGGAGGATGGACTGGTTGGATCTTCTCGGGTTCCAAGGCACTCTCAGAACTTTCCTCGAACACCACAGTTCAAAAGCATCTATCTTCCTTCGCTCAGCCTTCCTTATGGTCCAGCTCTCACATCTGTAGGTTACTACGGGGAATACTGTTGCTTTTACTATGCGGATCGTCGTTGCCAGTGTGATGTCTCTACACTTCACTATTTTATCGAGATTGGTCATTGCTCTCCTCCCAAGAAGTAAACATCTCCTGATTTCCTGGCTGCAGTCTGCGTCTGCAGTAATCTTTGCACCTAGAAATACAAAGTCTGCCACTGCCTCCATGTTTTCTCCCTCTATTTGCCAGTTATCAATCAGTCTTGTTGCCATAATCTTGGTTACAGAGGTAACCTCCCTCCTACCCAAATGAATTTTTTTCTTGTTATTTTTACCCTTTTCCATTTACTGCAGTTTCACTATTGTAAGGAAGTCGGAAGCCCTGAAAGGACCCAGCAGCAACTGCGCCCCGTGAGGTATCAGATTAAACCCTTAAATAAACATATTAAATGATATTTTGGTGTATGCTGTATTAATTGAAATTGTATAGAGTCAAATCAAATATATCATGAAGGCTCCCTTTTACCCAGTCTCCTCTAGTAACATAAACCCCTGAGAACTGTGATTGCTCAACCTTTAAGGAATATCCCTCCTGCAATCTCCCAAGCTTAAAGATGAATTTTCTGTGTGTTGGTGAAAGGCAAATAATCCCAGTTATCTTATTCAAGGCTTTAATGGCTCGAATCACTGGAGCGTTGTGTGGTTTCTGGGCTGTATGACCATGTCTTAGCAGTGTTTTCTCCTGATGTTTGCCTGCATCTGTGGCTGAAGTTGTCAGCCAGATGCAGGTGAAACATCTGGAGAAAATGCTGCTAGAACATGGACATACAGCCCAAAAACCACACAACGCTCCAATCCGTTTATCAATAGGGCTACATTTTGCACTGCTTACCTGAACAAATGTGTACAGGGACTTAATGATTCTCATGAAAGACAAAGCTAAGAGGAAAGAGGTAAATAAGGCTTTTGAATGAGTAAACAGAGCCTCTAGATATCCAGCATAATCGACTTTCTGTGCTTCTCACCATTGTCTCCTTTGGAACTGGACATTAAGTCAAGCAAAGACACCTCTGTCCTGGCCCATCTGGTTTAGCAGGGGCTCACTGGGCACAAAGCCACTATTTATGATTTCTGCTGAAAATCATATCCCTCTGAGTGAATGGAGCACAAACTAGGTACAAAGTTTGGAAGTGGGAGGAAAAAATTGAAATTCAAAAATTGAAGCAGATGAAAAACTGGAAAGGCAGAGGTTTAATCAAACCTATCCCTGTCTAATCTAGATGGTGTTATTATAGCCACAATTATTTCCAGATTACACTTTGTAATATTGTAATTTGGGATGCGAATGTCTGGCGGCACCCAATTTACTCAATTTGAATCAATTGACAAGGCCTAGAGCATGAAGAAAGACAATGGACAACCTACAGTGCCTCCACTAACTTTCCTCCCACTCTATTGTGGCTCACTAGCTAGGCCGCTGCTGCAATTTATTTAGAATGATAGAATCACAGAGTTGGAAGAGACTATATGGATCATCCAGTCCAACCCCTGCCATGCAGGAAAAGCACAATCGAAGTACCCCTGGCAGATGGCTATCCAGCCTCTATTTAAAAATCTCCACCCCAAAAAATAAAAAAAAACCTCCACCACACTCCGAGGCAGAGAAATACGCTGTTGAACAGCTGTTATGGTCAGAAAGTTATTCCAAATGTTCAGGTGGAATCTCCTTTACTGTAATTTGAACCCATTGTTCTAAGTTGTAGACTCCAGGGTACTGAATGAAGTGACTATCTATATAAATAAAAATGTAATGTTCATTTGTGGGATTAACATAACTCAAAAACCACTGGGCGAATTAACACCAAATTTGGACACAATATACCTATCAGGCCAAAGAGCGACCATCACTCATAAAAACATGGAAAAACACAGCGGAAGAGACTTTAAAAAGCAAAAAAAAAAACAACCCAAAACATTATAACACATGCTCATAACCACATAAATACACATATCCACACATATACACATATATACAAATATACACACATATTCCCACACAAAGCACATATACACTCACTGGGCCACAGCAACGCGTGGCAGGGAACGGCTAGTTGAAAATATAACAGTTCAATGGTCGAGTGAAAGTTAGGTGGGGATTTGTGGTCCAAAACAGACCACAAATCTCAATATCTGTAGGCTTTTAGGGATTGTTTCAAACACCTTTTAAGCACCAAAGCTTAAACTTACCACTTACCAGCCAAATGTGGCTATCAATAACTCTGTTCCTTTCCATATGCCTATATTATTTAATTTTCTGAAAAATACCATTTAAAAAAAACTCAAATACAACAGAGGCTATAGAAAATGCTCATTGCTAGTTTATTTCTTTAGAAGCTTCTATTATCAGAAGTGGGAATGTTTAAACATACAAAGTAGAAAGGACAGAAAGTGGTGTCTGGGTCATGGAGGGTGAAGAACCCACAACAGGAAAACCAGTTCCTTCCCTCGTTCTGAAATTCTCCCCTCTGTCATCCCCTGAACACTACACTCTCACGCAATGCTTTGTTAGTGAAGCCTAGCCCTATTACTTCAGCATCTACAACCACTTACCTAATCTCACTTTTTCCCAACTTGCTCTGCTCTCAATTATTTTCTTACTAGCAAGACATACTGAAAGAACATGAGTTTGCACTGATTACCCATCTTCTCATTTCTCATGCAAAAGGTGTCAAGATAGAGGTGTGATCATTCCTCCAGCCTTCCATATTTTAAACATAATGATGTGTTCAAATATAGTAAAGTACAGGTTGAGCTTCCGCTATCCAGAATCTTGAAATACTCCTAAATTGTCCACATAAGTGGTTGCAACAATAATATATTTGCTTTTCTAATGGTTCAATGTACACAAACTTGGTTTCATTCATAACATTATAAAATACTGTGTAAATTCAATTTATGTCCATATGAAACATAATTCCATTTCATGTTTACACTTGGGTCCCATCTCCCAAGATATGTGTACGTATATACAAATATGACATTCCAAAATCTGCAACATTCCTAGTCCAAGCATTTTGGATAAGGGATACTCAACCTATGGTACCTTTCTGATCATCCCAAGAAGTATTTTGCAGCACTGCCTCTTGAAGGGCAGTGGCCAATAATCTTTTCACTTTAACCCAATCTAGACATCCAACAACAGAGACAATGTTGTGCGAACTGAGCTTTTAAAGGGTTTGTGTTTTCATAATTGGGGGGGGGGGGKGGGGTTAACACTTCTGTCTGACTGCATTCACACAGTAGAGACCAAATGATTGTCTTTGCAACAATTACAATAACTTTCTAATGCCCATCAAAAAACAGTTCATACAGAAGCCTGGTTTTCAATCAAAGGCTAGTTGATTCAATAAACAATACAGTCTCATTTCTAAACATTTCTCTTCAGATCTATATAGTATGCAAAATTCCTCTTTAAAAAGTGATTATAACTTTATTTATACATATATATTTAAAAACGGGAGAGATATTTAAATTAAAAAAAGATAGGGTAGGTAGCAATTAAGTCCTATTGAGCAGTTGTTACTCTTAAGGTTTGAATGAACATACAAGTAAGCGCGAGGGATCTATTTCACTACTTTCCTCTCCCTTATTCCTCTGCTCACAAGGAAAACATGAGGGATAAAATCAGGTTTTTCTTTCAGCCAATTCAGAAGTGAACAAAATTGCACAAATAAAATAAAAACCCCAAAGTTTCACCAAATGTTAAAGCAGCAGTTTCAAGAAGGGTAAGATTTACAAATAAAAAAATGTCCAATATCTATATAAAATAATGCTTATTTTTTAAAAAAAGGAAGGAGGAAGAGGAGGACAAGGCTCTGTGCTATGCAAAAGCTCTGAAAAAGAGGCCACTTTCCTCCTCCCCTCTCAAGCCAGCTTCCTAAATTATATACAGTGAAGGTGCAAAGGGTCTATAAAGCAAGGGCTGGAGTGAGCAAACCAAAGTGGGTGGCTATACACTCCTCACACAGTGATAAAGAAATGCCCTACTAGAGTTTTAAAACAGGGCAGGGATAGGGAAATGCATACAGATCTACTCTCTGGCATCTCTGAACCTTCGGTGAGTACACATGGTTTAGGGTCCCATCCTTTGATAATGGATAACCTACTTCTGCTGCTTTCTAGGGAGATTTGGTATCAAAAACAGCTCAGCAAGCCTGCTTTCCCATGGAAGGAAACTGAATCCATGCTATCCTTCCTGTTCCCCGGTTGAGGGGGCAACAGAATGCTGAAAAGAGGTGGTAATTCGGAAAGGACATGGGGAGGAGCCTCCACATTTTGGATCTATCGGGATCAGAGGAAAGGTCTGACCGAGGAAGGGCCGAATGTATGAGAGGTGGAGCCTTATCCAGCTCTTCTTTTCCAACCACCAGAGTCCCACATGCTGCCATCACGAGTCGTCTTCCATGCTGAAACTGGAACGGCGGCTGCTGCCCTTGGAGGCGCCAGGCGAGACAGAAGAAAGCAGTGGGTCGGAGGCGCCGAGTGGGGACAGAGCAGTCCCATCGTCCATGAGAACATCCTGCAGAGCTCCTCCGTCCGATCCCAGCGCAAGACCCAGCCCCAGTTCCTCAGCCGAGAACGGCAGATCCAGGGAGTCTGCAAAGGGGGGAACTGTGTCTCCTGCCAAAGACTGCGTCATCGAAGTCAACGGCAACCCGTGCATCTGGACCTGCAACTCCAATTCCTAGAGGAGAGAGCAGAGCTTGGCGAGTGAGACCCAGCAGCACGTCTGAACGGGGCCTGTGCCCACTCTGCCCCACCCACATGGCAGAACAGCACCCCCTTGGCTACCTGCACACGCAGCTGCAAGCTACGATTGGCCTGCTCCAGCTTCCGCTGCCGGATCTCCATCTCCTTTGAGCGCTGCTGCTCTTTCTGGAGCTTCCGAATGTAGTCCACCGAAGCCTTCAGGATGGTCCCTTTGTTCCAACGCATCTCCCTAAGGGAAAGAAAGGCATGCAAGGTCCTGTCATTGCCCACACTATCCAGTGGTGGTCACCTCATAGGATCAGAGCATCTAGCCCAGTGGTTCTCAACCCATGGTCCCGGGACCACCAGTGGTCCACAATAATGAAAATATGGTCCATGGCCTCACCACTGCTACACCATTGCCTCAAAACCATGTTGCAACAAGAACGACTGGTCTCACAAAACCCTCTTATAGTGCAGAGGCAATGGGGATGTCAGGAGGGAGAACTGACTATCCACAAAAGATCAATACTACCACATCATTCATTATTTATTTATTTACAGTATTTATATTCCGCCCTTCTCACCCCACAGGGGACTCAGGATGAATTACAATGTACATATAAATGGCAAACATTCAATGCCATAGACACACAACATATATAGACTGACACACAAAGGCTATTTAACATTCCAGCTTTTAATGAGGGTACTCTGGCCACCAAGGGAGCTGTTGCTTCACCATCCATGTGAGACACTGATGAAGTACTTCCTCATTCTTTGCATGCTTGCTGAAGATTTTTATGGCCTCGTAAATTAGTTAAATTAGCCTCCCCACATAAGCGGTACCTAAATTTCCTACTTGACAGATGCAACTGTCTTTCAGGCTGCAAAGGTCAACAGCAAGCTACACAAATTGGTCGGAAGCTCACTCTGACTCGGGCTGGCTTCAAACTCATGACCTTTTGGTCAGTAGTGATCTTAATGCAGCTGACTCCCAGCCAGCTGCGCCACAGTCCCGGTGCATCAGCTCTAGATGATTGAATATGGTTTTGTGTGAGTGAGCAGATGGTGACTACTGGGTGGCATATGTTCTGTATCAGAAACTAGAGCTGATGTAGTCTATTGAATGCAATTTTCTGGATCAGCACCCCAAATAACCTAACTAAATCTAAAGTTGACCAAAAACTGATTCGTAACCCTTTTGGTATTAATATTATTGAGTGGCCTCTGGTCAAAAAAAGGTTGGGAACCACTGACCTAGCCAAATGTCAAAGGACCTTTTGTCCTCCAAATGTTGGTTAGAGAAGTAGTTCTCAAATGATGGTCCTTCACATATTTGGGGCTCCAAAAATTCTTCACCATTGGCTATACCAACTGCGACTTCTTCAAGTCCAAAACTTCTGGAGGACTGGAGTCTGAGAATCACTACAATGCACCATTTATTGTTTTGTTTGATGTGTTTTAACTTATATCCTGCCTTTCTTCCTAAATCAGAGAGTAAAATTAAATCCAATTAAAACAGCAGATGGCATCTTGTTCAAGTTGTCAGTTAACTTATGATGGCTCCATATATTTCTTAGGCTTTCCTAAGGCAAGGAACATTCTGTTTTGCTAACTGAGGTTTTTTTTTTGTATTCAGTTAACATCAGAAAGTGGAATTTGAAAGCAACCACACCTATGGGGAGGGAAGACAGTGGGAAATTTGGAGCTTTCCTGCACAACCCTAACCCACAGAACAGGTCTTTGTCCCACTTTGACAAAAAACCACACATCACCACTTTGCCAAACTTACGGATCATTTGATTTTGGAATGAGAGTCCCCAGTTCTTTGATTCTGTCATTGATGTTGAACCGCCGCCGCCGCTCAACTGCAAAGAAACAAAAAGGATGTTAACATGCCATTGTAGGAAGTACAGCTGCTTTTACTGTTGCAACTGTTATTAATAACTAACAACAATTGAAATTTTGGACACATTTCAGTAAGGGAACTGTTCTTCAGTTCTTCCATTTTATACAGCCTCCCAATGGCCCAGAAAATGGAGACTAGGTAAATACAGAGTGGCTTGATCAAGGCTGGCCAATCCTCAGACTGTATCATACTTGCCCAGATCAGAGCTAAAAGTAGGTCTCAGGGAAGGCTGGCACTAAGCAAATAATTATGTTTCCAGGGGACTTCAGATAAATGTCTAGACCAGTGGTTCTCAACCTGGGCCTACAACTCCCAGAAATCCCAGCCAGTTGACTAGCTGTTAGGATTTCTGGGAGTTGAAGGCCAAAAACATCTGGGGGCCCAGGTTGAGAACCACTGGTCTAGACCTTATTGCTGGAAAAGTATGGCTGAAACTGTAAAATCTCACAATCTTTTCACGGCCTCAAGATTTTCTGCAAAGACTGTTCTTCAAGTGCTTCCTTTTATCACAAACAATCTCATCTGTCATGTACCCTGAAATATTACTTTGTGCCAGGTTCAAGTGTTCCCATTTGCCCAGACATTGCAATTGATCACACCTTTTAGCTACAGAGCCACTTTAAAACTGGGCAAACATGTGGCAACTGCCTCAGACTGTAGATTCAGCTTGATATGAAAAAGCAAGAAATAGCCTGGAACCCCAGGTTTCGGCGGTGACCAGGGGAGCATTTGCACAGCTAAAGCTTGTGCGCCAGCTGCGCCCGTACCTTGGGAAGTCTGACTTGGCCACGGTAGTCCACGCTCTGGTTACATCCCGTTTAGACTACTGCAACGCTCTCTACGTGGGGTTGCCTTTGAAGACAGCTCGGAAGCTCCAACTAGTCCAACGCTCGGCAGCCATGATGTTAACAGGAGCGGAGCGCAGGGAGCATACAACCCCCCTGTTGCGCCAACTCCACTGGCTACCGATCTGCTACCGGGCTGAATTCAAAGTGCTGGCGTTGGCCTTTAAAGCCCTAAACGGTTCCGGCCCAAGCTACCTATCTGACCGCATCTCTGCCTATGAACCCACCAGGACTTTGAGATCTTCCGGGGAGACCCTGCTCTCGATCCCGCCTGCTTCTCAAGCTCGGCTGGCGGGGACGAGAGATAGGGCCTTCTCGGTGGTGGCTCCTCGGCTGTGGAACGCCCTTCCTACGGACATTAGACTAGCACCATCTCTAATGGTATTCCGCAAAAAGGTGAAGACCTGGATGTTTGTGCAGGCGTTTGAGTAATTTAGTGCAATCTGGTAATGGAACATAGGAATGGAACAAGGGACGACGAACCTGGACTACGCTTGGATGATGAGAAGATTGGGTACGGTTGTTTTTTGTAATAATTGTGCATTGTAACTGCTTATTGGTAATTTATGGATAATGTGTTAAGTCAATTGTTATATGTTGTATGGAACCACTGCTGTTTCTACTGTTTTTACTGTTTGTGAACCGCCGTGAGTCGCCTTCGGGCTTGAGATACAGCGGTATATAAGCAAAGTAAATAAATAAATAAATAAATAGTCAGGTATTGAGAGCCTAGTTTGCTCGATTTCCAGCCTCCTCGTAAATTAGGAGGTAATTTTGAGTCCTCGAGTAATTTAACTTGGTTGGCTTTATATATGTTGAACCTTGTTCTGGAGTGCTATTTTTTGCTCTGCCTCAAACAATAACACATTTTGAACCAGTCCTGTTTGCTTTTGGTTTTATTACTGTATTTGTACAGTAGTGGTTGTATACTACTTGGAATCCAGCAAAGGATTAACGATGGTTTAAGAGCCAAAGAGTAAAGCGGGATGTAAAATATTACTTCTAGGAGTTAGAAAAAACAAAAAGCTGATCCATTCCTTGCTCCTCTCTCATGACTAGCAGAAACTGAATTACATGGAAGAGATGTGACTTTAAAAACTTAATGTCAATAAACATAAACGGGGCACAAAGTTCATTCCTCCCTGGTATAGACCTTCCCATGGTACGTAATGCTGACACTATTATTGCCCCATACCAGTGCCACATCTGAAACATTTACATTGTTATGCCCATATATTTATACAATGGTGAAATATTTCATGTTTTACATTGCTATATGGATAAGTGTATATATAGCATGTGTTTGTGTGTGTTTAATATGATGAATAAAACCAACCTTTGTGATGAATATTATTATCGTTGGAATATTTAACTGTGTGTTGATTTTGAAGTTGTGAGAATTTTAAGTTGCTTGTTAATGTGCCTTTAAGTCATCTATTGACTTGTGGTAATCCACGAATTTCACAGGATTTTTAAAGCAAGGAATACTGAAAAGTGGATTTGCTAGTTTCTTCCTCTGAAATACAGCCTACAGCAACTGGTATTTGTTGGCCATCTCCTATCCAAGTTCTAACCAGGGCTGGCCCTGCTTAGCTTCCAAGATAAGCTAAGAATTAGTTTCTTTGAGATATTAAGATTGATCTTGCCTAACAAGAGACTGGGAGAGGAGCAGCGCTGGGTCCTTTTGATTCCATCATTGTGTTTACATGGTATCTAGGGATTCCTCATTGCATTTGCTTATGCACCAAAAACCAGTTTGGCCTGCAAAGGATTATTCAGCACTTTGGAGCCAGTTTTTATGTATCACTAGCTGTCCCCTGCCACACATTGCTGTGGCTCAGTGTTTTATGTGTGTATATATTTGTGTATTTATTTATTTATTTATTTATTAACTTTATTTGTATCCCGCTAGCATCTCCCGAAGGACTCGATGTGGCTTACAAAGGCCAAGGCCCTCAATAAAACAATAACATAGCAATATATCTATATATGCATGTTTGTGTATATATGTAGTTTTGCGCATGCGTTGTAATGTATTTTTTGGCTTTTTTGGCTTTTGAAGTCCCTTCCGCTGTGTTTTCCAGTGTTTTTATGAGTGATGGTCACTCGTTGGCCTGATAGGTGTACTGTGTCCAAATTTCTTGTCAGTTCATCCAGTGGTTTTTGAGTTATGTTAATCCCACAAACGAACATTATGTTGTTATTTATATAAGATGGAGAACTAAAGAAGAGGAAAGGGGAAATGTTCCAATGGTAACTGCAAGCACAACACTGGATTTTAGTCCAATGACCTGCCTTCACCAGTCTCTTAACGTAAAGCAGCACAGAAGCTTCAGCCCTTCTCTTTTTCTATTAATAGAATAAAAAAGGAATTAAATCCTTTTTTTTCGTAGGCAATATCTGAGACTACATCAGGCCCAAATACAGCTACATTACTGGACCTCTGTGGCACAGCAGGTTCTTGCATAAAAACATATAGCAAAAATAATGAAGAAAGAAAAAGACAGGGAAAAGGGGAGTGAGTGGGGAGGAAAACAGAGAGGGAGAGAAGAGGTGACATGACCTCAACTAAGCCAACTGAGTCAGGCAATCCGGTTCCCACCACCCACACACAGCAGTCCAGCCCACAGCACCCTCTGCAAGCTGGCTCAGCCTGTTTGTTCTCCGCTGGAACTGAACAAATCAACAGGCCGAGCAACTTTGCAATGTCCCTTTCTCTCCTAGCAGAAGCAAGAAGCCGCTTAAAGTCATCCAACATTCATTTCCTCCTCGTTTAAAGAAAGAACTATAAAGAAAAGGGGAGCAAAGTGGTGACACAGCCCCTAATTCTACCCCCTTAAAGAATTCCTTCCAATTTTCAGCAACTTCAAACTTTTGTTGAGCATTTAGAAAGATACTTTAGGCACTCAAAAAAAAAGGGGCAGGCAAAGCAACCAAGGGGGTGTTAATAAAATAAATGCAAAACTTCCTGGTGTTAGTAAATTTTACTTTCCGTCACACCAAAAATTTGAGGATTAACTAAGAATTTCATTGGGAGGCAGATGCTCTCATTTCACCCCCACTCATAGCTGGACATCTAGATTGGCCCATAAGGTCCAACCAGTTATCACCTTATCACCTTCAGCTATAATGCACACAAAGGTTGACAATAAAGCGTTTCACAGTCGGATGGGAAATTTTAGACTGTTAACTTTTGGTGTTTATAATATGGATTATTTGTTTTTAGCTATAGTTTTATGTTCTGTTTTATTTATTTATTTATTTGCTGCATTTATATGCCGCACTTCTCACCCCGAAGGGGACTCAGAGCAGCTTCCAATATATATTTTCATACAATATATTATATTATTAGCATAGTACAATGTCAGTATATATTACTATATTGCACTATACCATTATATTGTAATATTATTAGTAATATTACATGTAATGTAAATATATAATTATAATTATAATAATATGTACGTTTAAGATCTTGTGAGCCGCCTTGAGTCCGCTCTGGAGAAAAGTGGCATAGAAATCTCTGAAATAAATAAACAAGAAATAAACTCTATAATTTCCAGCTGAATTCTCTTGCCCTTTGCTCAACAGTCCTGTCTGTTGCAATGTCTGCAGCGTTTTCTAAGTTTAAACTGCCTTGGTATTTTCTCATGATCCCATGAGGTCAGTTCTGCAGTAAGAGAGTTCATTGCTAGCCTTGGATTTTAAAGCTGGAGAAGGTTTTAAGCTTAAGCTCTCTACCAATGAGAGAAATCTTATGTAAATATTCACTCATTAATTCTATATACGTTCACAAGAGCAATTGTTCTTTAAGAGGAAAAAAGTCCAAGGATTTTATTTTAGTTCAATACATGGCTCTCCTCTTCCTCCATTTTATTGCCACAACAATCCTAATGGACCGAAAGTGAAACAGTCACCTAGAGAGTGACCAAATTACCCAGGAAGTTTTCACAATTCAGCTAAGACTGGCACTTCAACCCTTCAACTCTTAACAAAAAAAGCGAGCAATATGTGGTTCTCCGGGGATGATTGGGACACAGCTTTCATCAATCCTTATCCCCTATGGAGATGAAAGATTAGGGAAACTGCAGTCCAACAACATTTTGTTGGACTGCATCTCCCTACTGTAACTACTACACATCAGTGGATTTCAAGGGAACTGAGAAAGTCAATGGGTCTCATCTAAGCATGACTAGGTCTGGAGTCAACCCACCATCTGGCCTGATATGAGGCAGAGTCTTTGCTCAGCTATATAGCAAGTTATTTTGAAGGATCTCAGCTTCAAGTTGAAATCTTAAACAAACTGCTCAATATTTTTTCCCATTCCCCACCCTCAGTACAGGTGGCCCTTGGTTAGATTCCAGGATTGAAATTCATGTATATTCAATGACATAAGAAACAGCAAAGTCAAGATTCGTTTGCAGGATTAAAAAAAAAAACATTTTCAAGCTATGGATAGTTCAATTCACAGATTCAGTAAGCCCGACTGCTCATTGGAGGGAAGGATAGCAGAGGCAAAGATGAAGTACTTTGGCCACATCATGAGAAGAAAGGAAAGCTTAGAGAAGACAATGATACTGGGGAAAATGGAAGGAAAATAGGAAGAGAGGCCGACCAAGGGCAAGATGGATGGACGGTATCCTTGAAGTGACTGGATTGACCTTGAAGGAGCTGGGGGAGGTGACGGCCGACAGGGAGCTCTGGCGTGGGCTGGGCCATGAGGTCATGAAGAGTGAGAAACGACTGAATGAATGAGCAACAACAAGCCACATAGGGCTGAATGTACTGGACCACCCAATCCAAACCCTTAAGATGAAGTCGGCTACATTTGACACTCACTGAGATTATGGTTGTCTTTCTTCTGCCTTTCTTTCAGAAATGCTTTGGCTTCATTCTCTACAAAGCAGAAGAAAAAATATAGAGAAACAAGGAACAACAGTCAATATCAGCTGCCACACTCCCCGGTACTGTAGCATTTATTGGTGCTGTTTGGATCTCCATAATCTAGTACCTGACATCTCTCTCTTGATATTGGGCAGGTCAGCTGGGCAAGAGTTGCTGACAGTTACAACTGGCTCCATCATCCCTTGGTTGCTGTACACATCCAGGAGGTTTCCAGAGACAGGCAGCTAGACATGAGGAGGAAAAGGAAGAATTCAATCTACTTTCTTGCCTACACAGGCAAGAAGGCCTAGTCTCAGATTTAGACACAACTAAGTAAAAGCTACAGCTTAGATCAGAGATGGAAATCATGCAGACATTCCAAATGCTGGTGAACTAAAACTCCCAGTGGTAAGGAAGGCTGGGAGCTGCAATCAAATGATATCTGGAGGACTGCATGATTCCCACCCCTCTTCTAAAGCACTGCTACTTAAACTGTGGGTCCCGACCCTAAATGGGGTCCCCACAGCTCAATGTTGGGATCACAAACAATTTGACAATAGTGAAACGTTTCAGAATACAATCTATTTATTTATTTGTTTGTTTGTTTGTTTACTATATTTGTATACCGCTTTTCTCAGCCCTCGGGTGACTCAAAGCGGTTAACAGTAGCAAAATTCAATCCTCAAAACATCATACAACAGTTAAAAACAATTAAACAGTAGCATAATAGACAATCATTATAAATCAATACAACATCTCATTAGCGTCTCATACTTAAAATCAAGATCCAGTCTCATCATCCAATTGTTCCATATTCCTATGTTTGTTACACTGCCTTTTCAAATGCATGCTCGAATAACCAGGTCTTCACTTTCCTCCGAAATGTTAACAGGGAGGGGGTCAATCTGTAGGAAGGGCATTCCATAGCACAGGGGCCACCACTGAGAAGGCCCTGTCTCTCATCCCCGCCAAACATACTTGTGACTGAGGAAATTGCCAGAGGAAATGTTTAATCAAATGCACAGAAGAACATCCATGTCTTCAAATCTTTCGGAAAAGTGTATAAGGTGGGCGCTAGTCTGATCTCCCTAGGAAATTCCAGAGTCGGGGGAGGGGGGGAGGGGTCAACAACCGAAAAAGTCCTCACTCTCATTCCCACCAATGAGGCCTGTGACTGAGGTGGAAGTGAGAGAAGGGCCTCCCCAGAAGATCTCAGGGATTGTGTGGGTTTGTAGAGGAAGATGAGGTCTTGTATATTAAAACTTTAAATATGAAAACTTTAAAAACACGTTAAATTGATATGTGTACGCATTTGCCTTGTTTTTGAATTCTGTTATCTTGTGTCATCCCACTGTTAGCTGCCTTGACTCCAGTGGGAGAAAGGTGGGATAAATAAAAAGATTATGATGACAACAACGATAATAATAATAATAATCTGAAATCACAACACAGCCATTTATTTTATTCTCATTGTCACTGCATTTATTTAGATCTCACATTCCTTTCTTTAATAAGACTAAAAAAATCCCAAAAGGAATTCAATAGTGCATTATCAGCACAGGAGATTTCAAATATAAGCAAGATACCTGCCTCTCTCACAAAAAAACACCAATGTGCCAGCATCACAACAGACTCCCTCTGAAGTCATAATATAGCCATGTATGTATTGTGTTTCTGGGTTTACATTTATTTTTTGCTTGGATGTCAGATAGAAAAGACATCTCTCACTTCAGTTTAACTTGGGCCTTGTTTCAGTAGCATCACAGATAGAGATGCAGACAAAGAAGATGTCAGATTGGAGAATGGGGTCATCTTCACTTGGCACAAATATAACATTAATAATCATTCACAGTCTTTTCTTTCTTACAGGAAGAAAAGGAAAATCACAAAATTGTCTACTGGAACCTAGAGATGGACAAGAATATTTCTTCAATTTTGAGAAAAATACGGAATCCTCTGGAAGAGATTTTGCCAGTTGTCCCTTCCTTTGCTCACTCGCGGCCATCCAGGAAAGTATCTCTGGTGCCTTCCTTCGAAGAGCAGGTAAGTATCTCCCAGCTGGGATAAGGCTTCTTTTTAGACTATGTCTCCGTAGGGTGACATACCATCCCCTCCCCCCAATTATAGGTTTGGAGGGCTAAGGCACCAGAGGAAGGAAGGAAGGAAGGAAGGAAGGAAGGAAGGAA